CAATGGCCGCTCCTGGCCACTGCAGCCTTGACTTGCTGGGCTCCGGTGATCCTTCTGCCTCAGCCTTCCAAGTAGCTGGAACTACAGGCGTGCGCTACCATGTACTGCTAATTTTTGATTTATTGTAGAGATGAGATCTTGCCAAGTTGCCCAGGTGGGTCTCGAACCCGCAGGCTCAGGCAATCCACTCACCTCAGCCTCCCAAAGTGCGGGACTACAGGCTGAGCCACTGAGCCCGGCTTGTTCTATAGATTTTCATTTATTTATTTATTTATATTTTTAAAAATCTGTTTTTGAAGAAACTGAATAGTTTATATTGAAGAGTGTTTCCCACTCTCTAGATATTTTTTTTAGTTGGAGTCTCACTCTTTGTCACCCAGGTTGAACGCAGTGGCATGCTCATGGCCACTCCAGCTCCGACCTGCTGGGCTTAGGCAATCCTTCTGCCTCAGCCTTTCAAGTAGCTGGAATCTCAGACACATGCCACCATACCCAACTGGTTTTTGTAATTTACTGTAGAGACAAGGGCTCTACCGTTTGAGACCAGTTGCCCAGGCTGGTCTCAAACCCTCAGGCTCAGGCAATCCTCTCCCCTTGGCCTCCCAAAGTGCTGGGATTACAGACTGAGCCTCCGCACCCAGCCATCATTGCCTAGATTTTGCTGGAACAATTTCTAAGCATCTCATCCATGACCCAAGTAGAATGAAGGTTAACAATGGATGTGTCAAAGGGCAAATGAAGGATCATCTTCTATATCACGTTGGCTGTAGTTATATTATTGCACTATCTTAAGTTATAAGCACTGATTGGAAGAACAAAATTTTAAGCTAGACACTTGGAATCTCTGGGAAAAAAAACTGGTGTTAACATATGTGGAAAGGGAAAGAAGTACTCCTCTTAACCCTGCAGTTTCAGTAAACAAATAACTAGGTGTCAAGGTTTGATGATTTTTTTTTTTCGGTAAGATGACAAATAACAGTATTCATCTCTCTTTTGGTGTTGTAAGAAGCCATAGATGACCACTGCCCAGATTTGTGATGTCGTTAGATTTTATAAAGTGATATTTTAATTATATCTATCTTCTTTATTGATTGGCTGAAATCCTTCTCAACAACTAGCACCTCCCCTGCCACTCCCCCACCAATAATTTGGAACCCCTGTCCTGATGTAAATGTTATATAGGAAACACAAAATGCATTATTTTTACTTTATTTCATTTCATTTTATTAAAATTTTTTAACAAATTGATTTCTTAATATCCTCTTAAATGCACCAAATATTTTAGGTTCTCTTGTAACTCCTACTTTTAAACTTATCTGAGATGTGCATAATTCATTCCCATTGCTAACCATATTGACGAATAAATGTCAAATCTTTGCCCATGAAAGCATGCAGTTCAATACCTGAGTTCATTTGTCATGATTCTGTTTAATAGAATTTATGTGTTCTAATATAACCACAAATTCCTGGTTTGCCATATATAAATTCTACCCCTGACCTGTGGCCCACCAGTTCTGTAAGTGTCTCTTCTTCTTTTTGTAGGAAATGGTTTTTATATATCACAATCTTAGGAGTGGAAGTGTTCAATGATATTATACTGATTATTATTTCTAGCTTTTTTTAGTGACTAGAGCTAGGGCATATGTATGATTTACATGTAAAATATATCATGAGTTTTTGTATTTTTTAAAATATTACATACTTGTTCTTGTTAAGGAAAATGAATGGTTTAGAAATGCAAATCAAAACCACACTGAGATACCACCTAACTCCAGTTAGCATGGCCATCATTAATAAATCAATAAACAACAGATGCTGGAGAGGATGTGGAGAAAAGAGAATGCTTCTATATTGTTGGTGGGAGTATAAGTTAGTACAACCTCTGTGGGAAACAGTGTAGTGATTTCTAAAAGATCTAAAAATTGACCTTCCATATGACCCTGGTATCCCCCTTCTAGGAATATACTCTGAGGAACTAAAATCATTCTACAAAAAAGATACCTGTGTACACATTTATTGCAGCCATATTCACAAAAGCAAAAACTTGGAACCCAACATGCTGCCCATCAAAACTGGACTGAATTTAAAAAATGTGGTACGTATACATGATGGAATATTATGCAGCCATAAAGAAGGACAATGTTATGGACTTCACAGCAACTTGGATGGATTTAGAATCTGTGATACTCAGTGATCTATCACAGAAACTAAGAACTGATTACGATATGTTCTCACTCATAAGTGGACCTTGAACATTTATCACAACACTAAAAGAAAGAGATTGACAGTAGGAGGACACTGCCAGGGGAGGGAGACACATAATATCACCAAGGTTCGTGATCCTAAACCAGGCTAAATTAGGACCAATGGGAGGTCCACACTTCACCTGTACATAGACCACTTATGTACCTAATTCTGACTTGTACCCCATATCTTTAAAATAAAATATATTTAAAAAGTGTGAAAATTAACTTTTTATTTTTGATTTTTTTTTTTGGAGAGACAAGGTCTCACTATGTTATCCAGGCTGATCTGAAACTCCTGGGCTCAAGTGATTCTTTTGTCTTTTCCCAAAGTGTTGGGATTACAAAGATGAGCCACTGTGCACAATCCAACTTTTAAAGAACAACAACAACAAAAAACACCTCATGCTGTAGGGGAAATTAAGAAGATGTTAAAAAATATGTGTACCATTATGTGATTGCAATTCAGCTGGCAAAAATGATGTAAACAAATGACTCTAAAAGCTCATGTATGTATACTTCCATTTATAAATAAAATTCTCTAATTTGCTTTTAAATAACCCAAAGAAGAAGCCCAAACATCTTTATTACCCAGCTTAAATAAAACAATTGCTTCGGATTTATTTGTAAGATCAAATTCCAATATATTTGTAAACTTGTGAAAATATTTTGTAAAAATACTATGATTATTAATCACAACAAATAACGAATGTATTCTATTCTATTTGTGTTGCACATTTGTGTTATAGTGGTCTCAGTTTTGGCATTCTCACTTATCAATCCAATTCATTTCACTAGTTGGCGACCTCAAATCTGCATTTACAATACATTTGTTTACAGGTAGTCATGGTAACTGGCATAATACAAACATCTGCTTGCCTTCTTATGTATGCTCACTTCAATTTTTTTTTTCAGGGATATCAAGTGCTTAGCTTCAAAATTTTCTTTTTCAGTCAGTGCTTATAACTTGACATGGAGCAATACTGTAGCTGTGGCCAATGTGATGTAGTGAGTGATCCCTATAAAAATAATAGACAAAGCTTCATTTGCCCTTTGACACATCCAGCCCTAGCCGCCATTCTACTTGAGTCACAGAAGTGATGCCTAGTAACAGTCCTAGGGAAAACAATGTTGAATGGCAGAGCAAGAAGATTTAAGGATCCTAGTCCTTTGATGGTGTCACTGAACTTCCATACACATGGGTGATTGCCGAACATCAGACTTATGTCACGTAAGGCATAATTATATTTACGGGTTTAAAAGGACTAAAGTAGTATTCTCTGTTATTTTTACTTGAACATATGAAAACTAATTATTTGTCCTATACTTTTATTCAGTGAAACAAGATTTTTGTCCAAAGAAATCTAAATACCCTAATGAGGCCCAAACTCTAGTAATCACAATATACTAAGCAAGTTAGCCTAGCCCATTGTGGAAGGGCAAATCCATTATACATATTCACATAACAGCCAACAAATGGCACAAAATATTTTGTGATACACAAGATCTGACAATTAAGTTTGTGAACTCATCCTAGAAAAAGTGCTACATACCTCATTGCTGAATATCACTGCATTCATCTTCCAAGTACATTCCTTGGGAAACTATGCACCAATGCCAGTGCCTAGTCCACTTGTCAAAGCAATTTTGGAATTCTTTCTGGAATGACTGTCAGAGCTGTTGATTTAAACTTGATGTAGTGAATATTATAAAAATTTCTTTCTTTCAATATTTTCTTTATTTTCAGGTAAATAAAAAAGTCATTGGGGACCCGATTAGGTGAGTAGGGAGGGTGTCCTAATACAATTATTTGTTTACTAACTAAAAACTCTCTCACAGACAGTACTTTGTGAGCTGGTACATTGTGACATAAGAGCTCCTTTGGGACCATATTTGCACATACCTTTCTCATACCAAGATTTTCAGTGAAGACTTTCCTCCTTCTCTATTGATTTGTATTTGATCTGCTATGCTTCTCACAGTCAGCCAACAATTTTGACAGCACAATTCAATGAATTTTTGCATTGTTTTCATCAGTTCTGCTCATTACTAGCCGTCCTGATCTCTCTTCATCAGTGATACTTTCTCTGCCTTCAGAAAAACATTTAACCCATTTGGGCACTGCCATTTTCTTCATGGCATTATCCATATAAACGTGGACTAATATGTCCCTGATTTCACTTCCACTCTTGCCAAGTTTGACAAGAATTTAATGTTTTTTCTTGCTCTAATTAAGGCTCCAATATTCTTGTGACAACACACAAAAACTTGCAACAACAATAACGAACACCACTCAGCAAGACACCACCCCAAGTCGACCAGAACACAGTTGTGAGACACTGATATACCAAGGTGATGAAACCTTACTGAGTTGTTTGTGCAGTGCTGCCAATGTAAGGTCACGGTAGCAAGTTTCCGAATTGTCAGACCTTATATGTTATGTATAGTGTTCACATGCACCCAAAGGTAAAGATTTATTTATATACATATATAAGAATTAGAAGTTATGTATATATTTTTAGAAGGATATTGGGATATATATTGTGCTATATTTATGAGAGAGTGTTATGTATATTTAATCATAAGCATTCTTTACATGAAGAAAATGGAATTTTGGAGATAACTGAAATGCTAGAGACAGTAGGAATAGGAGGGAAGGGAAAATTTGGATTGGAAGTGGCTATGAAAGATCACTAAAATCTGAGATGTCTAGAAGATGACTCTAGAGTAGAGAGGTGATGTTCCCTCTTAAAACTGCTAATGTTTCAGAAATGCAAACATTTTCCTGATCCCTGCCTGCATTTCCTTGTTCCGGAAGCTGTACACAGTTGGGTTTAATGTGGGAGTGACAAGAGTGTAGAGTGCAGCTACTACCTTGTCCCTTTCAAATGTGTAGCTAGAAGCAGGGCGGATATAGGTGTAGATTACAGGGGTGTAGTAAAGGGACACTACTATGAGATGGGATGAGCATGTTGAGAAGGCCTTCCTCTTGCTGTCTGCTGTGCGGATGTGGAGAATGGCAGAAATGATAAAGCCATAGGAGAAGCAGGTAAGGGTAAAATCCCCCATGGCCAGGGTAATGTCAGCCACATACAACATCGCCTCATTGATTCTCACGGGGCTGCATGACAAAGCTAGCAGTGGGGGTATCTCACAGAAGAAGTAATCAATGATATTTGGACCACAGAAAGTTAACCTGAGGATGAGACCTGTGTGCACCCAGGAATTGATGATTGCGATAACCATGACAATGCTGAACAGGGCCACACACATATGGTAGTTTATGATAGTCTTGTACCTAAGAGGGAAACAGATGGCCACATAGCGGTCATAGGCCATTGCAGTAAGGGGAACCATCTCAGCTCCCAGGGACCACGTGAAGAAGAAAAGCTGGAACATACAGCCTGCAAATGAGATGGTCTTCCCAGATGTTAGCATGGTCCCTAGCATTTTTGGTAGAATGCTTGTTGTGCAGATGATGTCCACAGTAGCCAGTGCCAGAAGGAAGATGTACATGGGCGTATGCAGGGTGGTATTATAGATTATGGCAATGATGATGAGCATATTACCAAGCAAAGCCACAGGTAGATAAATAGAAAAGCAAGGAAGAAAATTCCCTGAAGTTCAGCCTTTTCAGTGGGGCCTAGAAAAATAAACTCAGATACGATGCTGTGGTTCATCCTGCTTGGGTGATTAAATGGCAGACACTATGCAGAATGAACTGAGAATTAAACGGATCTGTGTGCCATTATTACAAGATAATGGGGTGCGTGTGTGCTTAGTAATTTGATTATTGATTTGATATAATTTTGCAGCAGGAATTCCCTATGATGGAGTTCTGTCTTCTAGGCCATATCCTCTGCTCTCCAGACAGAGCCTATTCTCTGATGAATATTTTTCTGTAGATGACTCAATTAAACTGACAAATAAAAATAAATGTCATTGAATATTTCCATATCATTATGATTTGAAATTTGAATGTATCCAATGGAACTATAATACAAACAATGACATATCTCAGTTCAGTTAATTGCCTGATATGTTTAGAAGTCCTTATTGAAACATATATGAGCAGGAATATGTGGAACTATAGAAGTGGACAAATCTAATTACAGTGTGGGTATTTCAGTTAAAAAATGCCCAACATAATAGTTTGAGGCTGAATATTCAAGGGAACATTGACAATATTATTGCAGTCCAAATACTAAACAATTTAATAAAATGTTTTGGCAATTTTCCTTCAGTTTGGGAAGCATATTGCTAAAATTGGGCCAACTATTTGTTATACTGTCATGTAATGGCAAGATAATTGAATTTTAAAATCTAGGGTTGTGTCTTTATTTCATAAAAGTTGTAAATTGGACATTTAACCTCAATAAGCTTCATATTTTTTACTTCTACAAATTGGGCAAATTAACATAAATATTAGATGTTATGTAGACAGAGTTAATGTTTCTAAAGGATACCCAGGGAAAAGAGGCAACTGGAAAGTCTTCTAGGGCACAAGCAAAATTTGTGTCCTATGTTATTTCCCTCCAAAACTTCTCTAGCATTATTTTATATGTTTTTTGTTTGTTTGTTTGTTTGTTTTTGAGTTGGAGTCTCACTCTGTCGCCCAGACTGGAGTGCAGTGGCCGCTCCCGGCCACCGCAACCTCGACCTGCTGGGCTCTGGCGATCCTTCCGCCTCAGCCTTCCAAGTAGCCGGAATTACAGGCGCATGCTACCACGCCCAGTTGATTTTTTGATTTATTGTAGAGATGAGGTCTCGCTGCCCAAGCGGGTCTCAAACCCGCGGGCTCAGGCAATCCACTCACCTCAGCCTCCCAAAGGCGCGGGATTACAGGCTGAGCCACTGAGCCCGGCTTATATGTTTTCTTTTATGCCTATTTATTTTGGTAGATTTGCTTTATATGCTCAGTTATTTACATAAATTTATGGCTTTCAGAACTATTATAATCAGATGAAACTAGTGAAAGTTGTCAAAGTAGTTATGAATCATTCATGTTATGTTTTATCAGTTTTCTTTATTTTTTATTTTTTTTGAGTTGGAGTCTCACTCTGTCGCCCAGACTAGAGTGCAGTGGCC